ATAATAATAATAATAATAATAAAAAATAATAATAATAATAATAACAATAATAATAATAATAATGATAATAATAATAATAATAATAATAATAATTATTATTATTATTATTATTATTATTATTATTATTATTATTATTATTATTATTATAATGCTAAAATACACTTTTATTGATCCCAGAACGGCAAAAATGCTTACAATGGCAAACATGGATACATACATTCATAAATACATAATTATGAATACATACATACATAAATACATACACGAACACATACATAAATAATAAATACACAATATTACACTAGTAAAGACCAATTTGCAACTGCCATTGCCGGTCGCCACAGTGCAGCGCCCTGTATTTTGAGCTAGGGCTATCGTGTCTTGCTCATGGGCACACCCCAGTGAGCTCCCATCTAAACCCCGTGTCATCGACACTTGCTTGACATTACTTGAGTCTACAGGTACGTAATCCCGAATTATCAAGGGGGGGGGGGGTGAGTATTTTTTTTAAAGGGTTGGAGTTGATAAATTTATAACGAGGCTGCAAGTATGGACCTTCTGGGATGTACACATTTCTTTTTTTTTTTGACCCTGAAGTTTAGAAGCACTTGCAGAATGGACCTTTTTTTTCCTATTAATTTCGGTTCCCATCCCAAATTCCGTGGTTTTGAAACCTTTACAGGTAGGTCGAAAGAACAGGTCCAAAATCTGCAAATACCGGAGAATAATAAAAGGAAATAGGTAACCCTGCATACTCGTCCAAAAAGAAAATAATCTGTAAACTCACAGACAGGTTTTCAATGTATTCATCCAGTATCCATCCATCCATCCATCCAACCATGATTGTAGAGCCACCTTGAACTGAAATTTGCTGGACCCCCGAAATGTCCTAGATTTAGGTTAGCCCGGTTTCGGTTTTGACGGGTCGCTGAAATAGAAAAAAAACACACACACCTCTACCACCACCCCCCCCCCTTTAAAGAACTCGACTCGACAAGACACACACTGACTATATCTAATAACCAAAAATCGATATTTACTTCCCGGCACACACACACACACATACACAGATACTTTCCGTTTTATACCTTTAGGTGTTTGTGCGTCTGTATGTGTGTATGTATGTGTGTGTATGTGTGTATCTATAATGTGCGTGTATGTGCAAATGCGCGCATGTGTGTATGTGTGTGTGTATGTTTGTTCGTTTGTTTGTTTGTCTCTGGTAATGTGCGAAAAGGTTTTATAGAAGGAAGACCAATCTGAATATAAACTTCTAAATGTACGTCTGAGTTTCCTGACATTGTTTGAAGACACAGAGATTTATAGAACCTGATTTGATAAACACGAATAAGAGAGACAACAACACCAGAAAACAACATAAAAAAATAAACAAGAAATAATCATCTCTTAGCTTTGACCTCTTGTTGTACTTCAGCCAATGACTTTATACTCCGCACACGCCTTCAGGCGGCAGATCAAGTCCAGAATCAGATACCATACAATGTTTTTAACACACACCAACACGTGCACGGCACAAAGATGATCACAAAACAATTTCCGATTAGAACCAAACGTTTTACATCGCACTTCTCAGTTCTCTAAACACTGTTTTAACTGGGGAACTATCTCAAAATATTAATTATAGAACTTACAATATGGCAGGAGAAGAGGGTGGTAACGGGGGCAGGGGTGG